CTTGCTGAAATGAAAAAAATTTTAATAGATAGAACTGCACTGTTCTCCAATTATCCAGAAGAAGGTTTTAAACAACGTAAAAGTTCAGATAAGCTTAATGTTTTGAATAAAAAATTCGCAAATGGAGATATCCAATACATCACTTTTGTATACATGAGTTTCATCTTTATAGTTTATATGTTATATATTTTTACAATATTTATTTCAAATTGTCATAAACATTTTCAATGTTTCTTATACATTTTTTTTTTTTAGGTAAAACAGTTGTATTAATTGGCGGTAAAAATCTAACTGATACAATTAAAAATATTTCGCTCTTGTAAGTAAGTTGTATGTTGTAAGTTTATGTTGAATTTGAACATTTATGATTGACAGTACAGCATTTATCTTCTTTTTTATATATGTAGACTGTCAACAGACACTATTTTGTCAGAATACAGCAATTGTCTAAAGAAGAAAAAAAAGTTTAAAGAGTTGACATGTCTATGTTACGCTGTCACTGGTATTCTTATTAGCTTATTAATGTGTTTGATTAATAAAAAATTAAAAATGATGTTTTAATTAAAAAAAAAAAAAAATTTTCATTTTTTTGGGTATGGAACATGACATGTATTTAAGTGTATGTATACATGACATGTATATTTTATTTTATGATCTTGTTGAAACATGTTTTGTTGTTTTTATTAGAAGCTGCTTTAAAGTCAAATAAAAACTTAACCAAAATGGATGCCATCCAACTTATTGGGAGAGTAATTAGGCATTCTTCTGACCGAATAAAGAGAACATCGACTAATATGGATTTTGATCAATAATGGCTTAATTAACTGTTGTATTTTATTTTTTTTTTTTTTCCATTTTTAAGCAATTTTCTTCTATTAATAATGCACTATCGATTATATTCTACAGTACCTATTATTTTTTAATTTGAAAAATGTAACTTTGTTTGAAAAATTATTCTTATTTTTTGTAAAGTTATTAATTTATTTTAAATATATCAAATTAAACTTAATTTACATTGATTTCTTTTTATAACTTCCCTCGCCTAGATTAAGGCAAATCTAAGGTGTGTGTTGTAAATCATTGCATTTTTATATAACTTTTAAAAGAATGTCTTGGTAAAACTCAAACGTCTCTAGGACGTCTGAAAAAGACGTCCTTAAGTCTTTCATATGAGACAAACCAGAGACGTCTCTAAAACGTGTGCAAAAAACGTCTCTAGGACGTCTTAAGGACGTCTGGAATAGACGTCCTCAAGCCTTTCATTTGAGACTAACTAAGGATGTCTTACCGACGAGACCTAAGACGTCTTACGGACGTCCTTAGGACGTCAAAATGCCCGCTGGGTATATATATATATATATATATATATATATATATATATATGTTTATATATATATATATATATATATATATATATATATATATATATATATATATATGTTTATATATATATATATATATATATATATATATATATATATATATTATATATATATATATATATATATATATATATATATATATATATATATATATATATATATTAGAGTGTGTTTGTGTATAGGTAGCAATTCTTTACAGTTTTTGTCGTTAGACAAAAACCTAATACTTTTGTTGAACTTTACCTGTTTATATATTTTAAGCATGAAACTTAAGATTTTTTGCATTATTCAGTTCAAATCTACCTTTTTTCAACCACATATAGGAAGTACTATATACTACTTTATATACTATTTATATGGCTTCATATATATATTTTACTTTTCTGAGTTTCAGAAAAAAGTTATATTACAACTTGCTGAAATGAAAAACATTTTAGTGGATAGATCTGCACAGTTATCTAATGATCCAGAAGAAGAGTTTAAACAACGTAAAAGTTCAGATAAATTTAATGTTTTGAAAAGAAAATTCGCAAACGGAGATATCCAATACGTCACTTTTGTATACATGAGTTTTATCTTTATAGTTTATATGTTATATATTATTACAATATTTCTTTTAAATTGTCATAAATATTTTCAATATTTCTTATACATTGTTTCTTTTTAGGTAAAATAGTTATCATTAATTGGCTGTAAAAATCCAGCATATACAATTAAAAATATTTTGCTCTTGTAAGCAAAAGTTTGAATTTTAACATTTATGATTGACAGTACAGCATTTATAATCTTTTTTACATATGTAGACCAATAGACACTATTTTGTCAGAATACAGCATGAAGAAGAAAAAAAAGTTTAAAGAGTTGACAAGTCTATGTAACGCTGTCACTGGTATTCTTATAAGCTTAATAATGTGTTTGATTAATTTAAAATTAAAAATGATGTTTTAATTTAAAAAAAAATTTAATTACTTTGGCTATGGACCATGACATGTATTAAAGTATATTTTATTTTATGATCTTATTGAAATATGTCTTGTTGTTTTTATTAGAAGCTGCTTTAAAGTCAAATAAAAATTTAACCAAAATGGATGCCATCCAACTTATTGAGAGAGTAATTGGCATTCTTCTGACCGATTAAAGAGAACATCCACTAATATGGATATCGATCAATGATTGCTTAATTAACTGTTGTATTTTTATTTTTTTTTCCATTTTTCAGCAATTTTCTTCTATTTATAATACACTATCGATTATACTCTACAGTACCTATTAGTTTTTAATTTGGAAAATGTAACTTTGTTTGAAAAATTATTCTCATTTTTTGTAAAGTTTATAATTTATTTTAAATATATCAATTTACACTTTATTTACATTGATTTCTTTTTATAACTTCCCTTGCCTAGGTAAATTTGAGGTGTGTGTTGTAAATCATTGCATTTTTATATAACTTTTAAAAGAATATCTTGGTAAAATTCAGACGTCTCTAGGACGTCTGAATATAACGTCATTAAGTCTTTCATATGAGACCAGCCAGAGACGTCTCTCAAACGTCTGCAAAAAACGTTTCAACGACGTCTTAAGAAAACGTCTTTGGGACGTCTGGAATAGACGTCCTCAAGCCTTTCATTTGAGACCAACTAAGAACGTCTTACGGACGAGACTTAAGACGTCTTACAGACGTCCTTAGGACCTCAAAATGCCCGCTGGGTTATTTAAATAAAATTTTTTTCAGATGTAACTACATACGGCGAAAAAATTAACTAGTAATGCATTGTTTTAACCAGGTCTAGTTACATACAGAATTTTTTTTAGATGTAATTACATCTGGAGAAAATTCTTCCAGATGTTATTTGACTTGGAGGAAAATTACCAGATGTAGTTACATCTTTCTAAAGATGTTGTTAGAGTTCGTTGAATGTTCAAATGACAGATGTTATTACATGAAATTAGACAGATGTTATTAGATGAAATTAGACAGATGTTATTAGGTTAAATTAGACAGATGTTATTAGATGAAATTAGACAGATGTTATTAGATGAAATTAGACAGATGTTATTAGGTTAAATTAGACAGATGTTATTAGATGAAATTAGACAGATGTTATTAGATGAAATTAGACAGATGTTATTAGATGAAATTAGACAGATGTTATTAGATGAAATTAGACAGATGTTATTAGAGTAAAAAAAAAATAAAGATGATCTTGAACAAAAGTGATCTTGGACACAGATCATTACTTTTGTGATGAGCTGTGTCCACAGATGTTGTTGGACAAGTGTAATAATCTTTTATCCTTTTAATTATGGAACAAAACGTACGTAAACAACAATCTTAATTTTGCGAATTTGCCATCATCATTACGTCAGTAGTACGTCGCTAGCACGTCATCATTACGTAACAGTCATTATCTTTATGAAAATGAAAAGCACGCAAAATGTTATGAAAATAAAAAATCATTCTTTTTATTCAAAATATTTGCATAAATATATTCTGAACGTTTGCGAACCCAAAATTTATCTTATATTTTAGTTAATAATTTTATTTTTATTTTTTTGGTCATTTTTTCAGACAATTATTTACTTGAAAAATTATTGGGAGGGGGGTGCAAATGCCCCTGCTGCCCATCCCCCCTCCCATCCTGGTTGCTACAGGCCTGTACTTTGCAAAAATAAAATTTTAACAAGTAAATCCATCGTGAATTAGGATTTTAATAAAAGAACTTTTTGTTAGTTTTTAAAGTTAGTAACTTTTTGTTTTTTTTGCCAAACTGTCAAAGGCAGAAGAACATTTAACTAATAATTTTTAAAGTGTAACCTAAATTTGTTTATCTTGTGTAAATTAAGTTATTTTCAAAAAAAGTTTAGTTTTTAAACTTTAGATTTTTTAAATAAAACTTCGAGATCTCTTCGAACTTATCCTAAGTTACTATACTACTTTTATTGTTTAACAAATATTAATGTCAACTATAAGCAAATAAAAAACAATTTAAAAAAATCATTTAAAGTTAATTTGCTAATAAATTCATTATTTTTTTTTTTTAAAGTATTATGTTTTTTTCCTGCTGTAAGCTTTTAAATCAAAATAATGTTTTAAAAACTCAAAAAATCTTTTATCTTTATATATATATATATATATATATATATATATATATATATATATATATATATATATATATATATATATATATATATATATTTATATGCAATATAAGATAATATAAAGGTTTGTATTTTTTTTACTTAATTAATGTTATTTAACTAATTCAAAGTGCTTATAAAATCATGGTAATATAAGCATGATCGCGACTTTTTTAAGACCTCTGTGTTTTTAAGAAAAAATTTAGCTTGTCCTAATATCTAACTGGGTCATGAGTAGTAATCCATAAAAACTGTTTATTTGCAAAAATTTTAGATTTAGCATTGTTATTTTTGAAAACATTCCAATTTTTGTATAAGATCCTTATAATACCCTAATCTACTATATACATATATATATATATATATATATATATATATATATATATATATATATATATATATATATATATATATATATATATATATATATATATATATATATATATATATATTCATAAATTTATATAGATTTATGCTTACTTTGTCAACTCTGAGTTTTGGTTACCAAATAGTATGTTTTTGTCAAGCAACATGTCAACTTCTGATACTAACTTGCTGATGTCATGCTTATCTTTTTTAAGTTTGACTTGCATTTCCTATAAAATATTTAATGACCGTTTAAACTCAATTTTTTTTTCGATTTGATTTATAATTTTCAATTTGATTTATATTAATGTAAAATGATCCAATTAAATACTAACTAATAAGTTAATATCGCTATCGCAATAGTCTTAAATAAATTGTTTTACAGCTTTTGCAACGATAGGAGTGAAAACCTTTTTAATCTGATCAAAAAATGCGTTTTGTATTTTAACATTTTAATTTCATAATGTTACTATGAATTAAAAAATATTTACCTCATTTTTTTTCTTTTCAGCTTCAAACTTTTTTCTTTGCTCAATCAATTTCTTTTTGGAAGGCATTTTTAAGATTTTTAGATTTTTTTTTTTTTTTTTTTTAGAAAAATTTAATTATACAAACTAATAATATAATAGTAATTTTTGTACGTATATGTATATATATATATATACATATATAAATATATATATATATATATATATATATATATATATATATATAATATATATATATATATATATATATATATAAATATATATATATATATATATATATATATATATATATATATATATATATATATATATATATATATATATATATATATATATATATATATATATATATATATATATATATATATATATATATATAGATTAGATGCATATATATATATATATAAATATATATATATATAATATATATATATATATATATATATATATATATATAT